CCAGCCCAGATGGCAGGTCATGATACAAATAAAGCCATCCATAATTGCCTGTGGTTAATTACTGGGAACAGTTGATTTTTTGTTTGGTTTGGTTTGGATTTTTTTGAGAATATTACATTGTGAAGAGCTTCAATCAGAAAGCCCTCATAGCATCCAAATGAAGGCGAGCACCAGCACCTGTGGCTGTTCTGGTTTGGATGCAGGGAAGAACTGCAGCCTGGTAGCCAGGGACCCTGCAGGGCCTGATGATCATAGCCTCTACCCAACTGAAGGAGCCACTGTGCTGCTTTACTCTACTCCCTCTGTTCTCCCATAGACAGACTGTGCCTGAATCTGTGTTAGCAAGAGATGCATTTTACTGAATTGTTCTCCACCAGCTTGGAAAAAATTAGAATTATCATGATTGATTCCAGCCAACCTATCACAAAGCAGTATGTATGCTGTAGCTCTGACCCCAAACGCGCTCACTTTCTACCTGCACAAAGCTCCATGATGTTCCTGAGGGCTCAGACCTCAGCTGTCCTTCACAGGTCAGACATCAGCACAAGCCTTTCTCCTGTGCTCCAATAGCAACAGATGCAGAGGGCAGCTTTTAGGGCACGGAAGGATTTTTCAGGCAAGAATAGGGATTTTTTGGGCCCTGCTGCTGTGGGGACAGGGTGTGGGGCAGCAGCTGGGCCTCGTTGTTGTAATCAGAGCTGGTCTGCAGGTGCCAGGTTATTCTTTTACTACACCCAGTATTTATATTTCAAACCATAGCATAACCGCCCTGTGGAGTGGTTTATGGCAACTGGAGAGCTGGCAGGAAGAACTATGCCAGAGGTCTGAAAAAAGGATCCCACCACCTGCAATGGGAGCAGGCCTCAGACTGTGGGAACAGGGCTGGCAGGGGATGCTATGCCAGGCAGCTGCTCTGCGTGTCCCCTGCTGCAGGAAGGGTCTGTGTGCTTGCTGTCCTCTCATTTCAACTTCTGCTTTTACAGCAAGGAAGTCAGGTCTCATCCAGATCTTTTCAACTCGAACAGAAACTCTGGGGAGATTGCAATTGCTTGATTTTTTGCACTACATCCCCAAATGGGTGTGCTTCCTTCCAACCATGCCCAGAGCAGCAGAACAGGTACAACACTCCTGTGTCTGCCTCCAGACAAAGGACGTGGCCACCCCTAAGGAAGGAGAAGCTGGGAGAGCAATGGGGAACCTGCTGGGTCTGCCATCAGGACACAAAACCCACATAGCTTCAGGTCTGACCCAAAACTACACCAGCTCAGTGCTGCTGAGCCTGGGACTGCCCCAGCAGAGCAGCAGCAGCCCCATTGCTGTAACCCTTAGGGGATGTCAGAACATTGGTGGTCCTCCAGAGTGAGCTCAGTCCTTGGCCTGGAGCCAGCCAAGAGCAGTCTCCTGGAAGTTTCTCTCGGAGTTTAAAAGGTTTGGATTAGGCCCAGTTTGCCTCGTAAAGGCAGGAAAGTTTGAAGCAGGAGGACAGCAAATAACTGTGACAAAGTTGGACGGCTCTCACAAAGCCAGGGGAGAAAAAGGAGATCTGAAGTGCCCAGGAGCCCCTCTGACAGGCGTGAGGCATTGGTGGGCCTGCAGCCCCACTCGTGGTCTGCCTGTCTCCAAAACCCACTCAGATGCAGCGTTCCCATCACTTTATCTATGGGATGGCTGCGTGAAAAAAAACATCATTGCGTTCCTTTTCTCAGCAAATTGATCGCTCCTGACACCCTGGGTCACTCAGAAAAACAAAAGGCTGATTTGTTCAGTTGCTCCAGGTGCTGCGATGCAATCAGTGAAGAAAGGTTGAAATTTCGGGATAACGTGGGGAGGCGTCAGGTGAACTCTGGCAGCTGAGCCAGGCTCTATTGCTGCCCCACAGCCTTCATGGCTCCACGGTGGTGATCCCTGGCACCAGCCCTAAGATAAACAGCCTAAAGCAGGCAGGACTTGGGGAGTATCAGTACCTCTTGGAGCCAGGGCTGAATCCCCTTTGTTGACGGTTTTATCACCTCCTTACACAGAAACCTGGGTGGGGCTTTTCATGTCATATTTTGGCAACTTCAGTGTCCCATTAAGCCATTAGCGCTGCAGGTCTGCTAGTGGGTGGCAGGTTTTCTTCCTTCCTGCTTTATGGGGAATTATAGGATCTGGAGAGCGATTTTGTTCTGTCAGAGCAAATTGCCTTCGCTGACCTAATGTCTAATAAAATGGAAGATGTTTCTCCAATTATTTCCAGTGCAAAGCATTAGATTCTGTGTTATTTCCACCTATATTTGAGATACTTATTGAGTATGGATAAATTGAAACAACCTAATTTTAGGACTTGTAGCAGCTTTTCTACCTCTCACTGTAGTGCCCATGCTGTCCTGTGAAAGGAGAAAAAACAACAAGAAAGGATCTCCTCAGCACAGGTCACCAACAGTTTCAGCCGTAATAGACAACTCCATTAGGAGCAGTAATTAACGGTAAATGGAGTCTGAGTGTTTGTCTGCTCCAGATCTGTGCCCTCAACAAGGCCTGGGTACCCAGCAGCTGAGTCATCTGCCCAACAGGTTCTGGAAACCCAACAAATACGGTGTGAGCTCCAGGAGACTTGTCCTTTCTGGTGCTCAGAGCACCCTAAAGAAAGCCGTGTGCTGAAATAGCTACAGACTTCTGAGAGGTGCTTAAATTTCATACAGTGCTAGCCTGGGATTCATGGAAACAATTTGTTTCAGGTATTTGAATGCCTGAGGAGCTTTATGCTGTACACCAGTGCTTCCAGAGCTGTGGCAGGACAGCATGCTGAGCCCCACATTCCCCAGAGCCAAGGCCCTTACACAAATCTTGCACAAATAGGTGAAAAATCCACATGAATGAAGCAGAGAAATGAAGAAATGCAACTCAAGTTTCCTCTCTCCATTTTACCCCTGCATCTTTTTCTGCTCTGTGAGTCGAGCTCTGGATTTCACTTGGAAAAAGCAAATGGGGAAAAGCAATAGAAGAAGCCTCTCTGCCTGCAAACCTCTGCTTGATGGTTCTGATGAAATACCCTGCAGGGTGCTGAGCTCTTTGAGCAGGCCTTGGGCTGGGTGCTTTTGGAGAGGACTTGCTGGGGTGCAGCTGGGAAAGGAGAGCAGGCTTGATGGGCTGGGGTGTCCTATGCTGCTGGCGGGGCCAAGGGGAATGCTAACCAGAGCATCGGATGTAACCTTTGTGGGCTGAAAGCAATAACTCCAAATGCAGTTAAGTTAATGCTTCTGAGTGCCACAAACAAACCTCACACCTCTCTGCACAGTGGGAGCCTGGGACAAGTGACAAGTGACATCTCAGGCCTTCCAGCCCAGGGAGGGTAAGGGAGTGGGGAGGAACGGTTGATTAAAATCAGAGTTTTTCGTTCAAAGTTTTCATTATAGATTCAGATCTATACCGAAGTAAGTCAGCCAATGACCTCATCCAGCAATGATGAACAAACAAGATGACAAGCAAGTGTCGATAAGTCTCAGAAGACGTAACATCATTCCTGAGCACAATTAAACACAGCCTTACAAACACTCAGGCTCTGGCTTTCATGAAATCCATATGGAGTCATTAGCCTTCTTAGGTCTGGTTTTCCAACACCCTTAGATGCAGGATGAGAGGCTGACTGTACAAAAATTCACTGAGATTATGTAGGCTCTGAATTTAAAGGGAAAGAGCCATTTCTGAGGAATCCCTTTCTAAAAATACTTGCTCTGGAAGAAGAGTGGTGAATCTGCAGGCAATTTCAGACCTTCTCCCTAAACCAAGCAGCCACATCTCCAGTGCTGTGTGAGCCAGCCTGCCCCTGGACTGCACAGCATGTGCACGATGCCACACATTCGCTCTGCTCTGCCCATGTTTATCTGGCAGCGAAGGAGAGGTCATCGAATGGCAGCGAACAGTAAGTAAATGATAAGGGGCTCAACTTTATGCTATTGCAAATTTCAGATGACACCAAAGCTGCGTAATTGCTACGTAAAACAGTACAAAATGCAACACGCAGACTCTTTCTCTCACAAAAGACAATTTTTTGCAGGATCAGACCCTTGTTCACTTTTTTTCAGTGCTTTTTCACAACAATAATTTCAAAGAGGAAAAGTATTATTTAATTATCTTCTTTTCTTGGTTTGAATTGACCAACTGCATATCTTCCCCTGGCTTTATCAAAGAAGCCACTGGTACAAGAGCACATCTAATTTTAGGCGGACTTTGGTTGGCTGACTTAAAATTGATCATGCATTTTAGTTTCAGTAACTCGCAATTTCTGCACACTTTGATAGTGCACTTTAGAGAACAAGTCCTCTTTAATGACAAAGGCTTAAAAGAAATGACCTTTCTGAGCAAAATATCAAAGCTTAGAAAAGATAGTCCCTTGGAAAAAAGTCTCAGCTAAAATGACCTTGTGTTCTGAAACTTTTTCATACAATATCTGACATCTTGCTTTTCCTTTGTACCCTCGGAATGAAACCAAGTATAATTCAGTAGTGTGCAGTGCCTCCAGTACATGCTGTGATTTGGGAGGGACTTGCAGTGCATTAACATAATTAAAATGAAATAAAAGTCCAATGGCATATACATGCTGTCAAAACTGCTCATCGTTAGAACCAAAGCTGTGTATGTTTTCCAGAACATTCAATAAAGCACTTTAATATACTATAGTGATCACAATTATTTTCTTCACAATAAAATCTCTTTCTGCAGAGCAAAATCATTACTCTGAAACCACAGATTGCAGAGATCTGGGCAAGTCACAGGAGTATCTGCTGTGCTGCCCTGCCAGCACAACAATTAAAGCACTGTTGCAGCAGAAAGCAGAGGACTGAGAGAAGGAGGGAGGCTGTATCCCTTTTCCTCCGACAGCACCAGAAATGAGCGTATCTGTTACATGTAACACAAGAACTGTGAGCAGCACCCAAGTGAAGTTTCACCTTGATAAGGGTAACTCTTGATACTGGTGGAAAATGGTCTCGTGCACTTTTCTTGTGTTTTAACGTAGAGTGGAACTATCCTCTCTCATACAGCAAAATTCAGTGTAATAACAACAAACAAACATCATCATCAACCCATGCAAATGAAGCTCTGACCATATGCCAGCCAGCTCTGCCAGGACCGCTGGCAGCTCCTTGCCCTACAGGGGAAAAGGCAAAGAACAAGTTCTGGAGGGCAGAACATTTCTAGACTTCAACCTTACCTGTTACAAAGTGATCACAGAACTATTATCAACTGCAAACGAGCCCCAACCAACACTGAATTTAGTTCTTATCAGGTTTATAAGCACCTTCGCAATGCCCCTCATGCTGTACGTGGTTTAGGAGAGTTTCACAGAGCTCCCAGATTGACCGAGATCTACTTTTCTGAAATGGCTTTTTGATCATCAACATGCAATTCTATCAAAAAGAAGGAAATTCAGGCCTGAATTCAGCTAGCTGCATAAGGAAGGGTATTCAGGAGAGGCTCTGTGTCACCTTGGGGATGTGCCCCGCTTCCAAAAGCCCCACAAACCCAGTTACCATGCACAGACACCAGCACAACACCAGACAAACCCACATCACCCCATGCAGAAAGGGACATATCTCTGTTGGCACAAAGCAGCACCCGAGTGGTAAAAGCACAGCGCTCCCTCTGTGAGCCAAAGCACGGCCGCCACGCACCTCCCTGAGCAAACACACTGCATTTTACTGCCCACAATTCACCCTGTGCATCCTAACAAATTCCTTCTCCTGAAACTCACCGTTGCCCCAGGTGAGGCTTGGTGGCACCTGCCGTAGCACTTCCTGCTTATCAGAGCCACGACAACCTCTTATCTATAATTAGAAGGATCACTTGTTGATCCAAGGAAGGTGAAAACCTGCCCAGACCCAAGCCAGGCTGACATGCATTGAGGCACCAGGCAGAGCTGGGCACGCGTCCTGCTGGAAGCTCTGAGCAGGGGATGGCCTCTCCTCATGGATCAGGGGCTGGAGGGGGATCAGTGCTCATGGATCTGGGGCTGAAGGGCAGCCAGGGCCTGGTGGGATGGCTGCCTCCTCCTGCAAGCCCTGCAGATCAGCACGTGGTGGCCAATGCTACAGCTGGACCTCAGGGAGAGGAATTTCTGCCCCCTCGTAAACACTCAGGCCATGCACATTTCTTTGTTGTAATACAGCAGAAAATATATTTTCCCCAGTTAAAAAAGCCATACAAAACTCTACTATGCACTGTGGCTATTTAGGTGAGTGAGATGCCCAAGCAGGACAATAATGGCAAAACAAAATAGTGCAAAATAATATTTTAATCTTATGTAAACACATGGACGCAAAACGATGTCAAAATCTGTTAAAAAATCTTGGACATTAAAAATAGAAAATGGGATTTTCTTCATGTATGAGAGTGAAAAGAATGGTACGAGGAAGTGGTAACAAAGTGTTAGTAGAGGAAACTTCCTCTTGGAAAGTGAGAAGAGTCAACATAGTACATTGGAAGTGTAAGTCTGTGATGAGATGATGATAAAAAAATAATGGAAGGAAGCAAGGTACAACTAAAAAAAAAATCTGGCACGAGCAATGGATATGTTTTCATGAATTTCATTGCATTTTGTGTGCTAATAAAACAGCCACTGATCTTTGCATTTTAATTTACAAGAGCCAAATCTTCAAACCTATTGAAAGCAGTCCATTTGGCGATCAAAGAAATCCAACAGCTCCAGCAGCTACCTGAAAATTAAGACACTCTCATTAGTTATGTCTTAGTATTCTTACTACAAAATGCAACAGTCTGCAGTGGGGCCCTGTGACAGCAGCCTGGCTACAGCAGCCACGACCACATCTGCAGCCAGGGGCACAGACAGACTGAAGTTGTCCTTCACTGACACTGATCAGTGCCAGCCAAAACAGCACTAGTTCAGTGAGCACAGGTCAGGTAAAACAAAATGCAGTGTGAACACAAAGTTGGGAAAAAAAGTCTGATCAGAAGGAAAACTTCATCTTTTCAACTAGCTATTTTCCTAACTGTGAAGACACTGATTCTGAAAAGTATGAGATAAGATGCATCTGTTTGCAGTGCTTCTGCTCTTACTGCAGAGAGCCTACAGACTACATCACAGCTTTGTATTTACCTAACAAAGTTGCCTACGCTGGACAGGTTACCAAAAATTAATGACATTTTCAGCTTTCAACTTTAGCAAAGTCTTGTTAAGGGGAAAAAAAAAAAAAAAGCATTTTCAGACAACTTCCACGCTGCTAACATTTTTATAAACGTTTAAATATCTTACAGATTTTTACACTGTTTTTACAAGCACACACTTTTATTTGCAGAATTCCTCGTGTGAGATATGAAAGTATCATCAAAGCCTATAAATATAAAAAGACTTTACTAGGAAGTTTCCTTTTACTCACCTATCCATGTGAATCACTTACTCTAAAGGCACGGCAAGTCTTTTTATTGCTGCAGCACTTGCCATAATTTATATTGGAGGGTGTAAACGTTTGAGAAAAGCCCAGGCTCATGAAGATCCGGTACTTTGAAGATGTGATCTGTAATATTATTCATTGCATCACTGTTTTCTATCTTAAAAGGAGGTGGCATCACCGCAGAGCTGCAGCTGTGCACTGAGACTCTGTCTCATCATGAACATGGAGGCAAAGCCCAGACTTGCAGTGCACCTGCGTGTTCTCTAATCTTGCTCTAATAGTACTGACTAAGCACTGGGAAAATTCTCAGGCCCTTGTTTACTGAAAATAAGTTGCTTTTAAAACTGCAACCATATTTGAGTGTTTTAATTAAGCTGTAAAACTTCAATAACTGGGATCCACAGGTGTGAAATGGTATAAATTGATGAAAGAAAGTCCCATACCTCCTGGTGGGGTAGGCATTCAGCTCTTCCTGCTGGACAGAGGCTCTTTTCTGCAGAATATTTACCTGCAAAATGCATCCCATGTGAAAATGCTGCACAAAATTCTAATAAATAAGTTAACACTCATTTCATAAAGGTATTTTTCTTGTCTATTCTGCATAAATAAAATGCAATAATGCTTTAGCTGCATACTAGAATTAATGATAATACTCCACAGCAGATTGTCAGGATCCCCTGGCCTGAATATTCCCAGCACACCACTTGCTGCATGCTACCCACTTTAAGAATAAAGTCAAAACAGTTTTTACATTCAGCTTGTGGCAGCATATGGATTTTGCAAGGAGCTGGGAGCTCCAGCTGTACCCTCAGTGCCTGTACAAAACCTGAGTTCTGGTCCCCACACTTCTGTTCTTGTGATACTCACCTGCTCTTGAAGGGTACGAAAATTAATGTTTATCAATACAGTGGCCACTTTTGGAGAACTCACCAAGAGCTGATCATTATTTTTAGTGGTATTTATTGAAAATGTTGCCCAAGCACACGGTATTTTCCTTCTGTTTATGTTTATCACTGCTCAGTGCTTATACCAAGCCTGTCCTCTTCATCCCCTTCCAACAATAAATAATCCTGACAGGTGCAGAGATTCTGCTGCCCTTCTTGTCTGATGTTTTGAAACAGGAATTCCAATAATTTTCAAAGACCAGCACACCTGTGCTTCAGGAAGGAGCCCTGCTTACTGAGTGGTCTGTGGCTGCAGTGTACCAATGGCAATGCAGCCAGCAGCTATGTATTTCTGGGATGACACCCAGTTTTTAGTGTGTGCAGTTACTTTTACTCTTTTGAAATGCACTGTTGCTTGCAAAAGCCCTGCAGGTGGATATCAGATTTTACTTCTCTTTTTTTTTAACTCATTAAAAGATGTAGTATTCTTACATTAGCTGCAGTGCAATGCTTCCTACCAGACAGTGCTAATGGTCAACCACGATTTAAAAATAGCTTTTTGCTATCAAGTGGAAATTGATTTCCCCAGTTAATCCTTAACTCTTTATATTCCATAAATATTTCAGTGAGAAAGAGCATCACTTCCATCAGGAATCCCTTGACATATAAGCAGAGTGTCTACAACCACAGTATTAAAGTTGTGTCATTAGCAACACATAGGAATTCGAAACTTTCCCCTGTGAACATTTCCTACTTCTGTAAAAGGCAAAATTTGCCATGGAAAACATCTCATGCTTGGAAAAAATGCAACATAAAAACCCTTCTACATTTACAGAAAAAAAGAAAAAAAAAAGAAGGAAAGAAGGGAGGGAGGAAAAGTAAGATCAGTAAAGCAAATACATTTAATTACCAGGCATCTCCATAGAGGGACTGCATAAGGAAAAGAAATGGAGAGCTTGTAGATCTATACCAGCTTGAAAAATGCTGTATCAAGCCTACACAAGTGTCCTCAGGGCATTGCTCCCCCTGGAGCCCTGGGCAGCCTGAGGCACCTCCAGCACTGCCATGGCACTCCTTCATTTCTTCTCTTCCTGTCGCCAGGACAGATCCCAGAGTTCTGCATGGGGCCATCTGCCAACACTGACTGTTTTATCTGGATTACCATTATCCTGTATCTATGATCACTTTTCTTTATTATTATTTATCTTTCCTCAGACCTTTCTGTGTCTGTGAGTTCAGGCAATGACAATAATGTATGAAGAACTTTCTTCCAGCTCCTCATACACTGAATAGAACAGCACCAAATGACCTCTTTGGGAACTCAATACCATGTTCATTAGTAGTTCCCTATTTACAATGACATTCTGATATTTCTAGTGGCTAGTTTTGTGTCTATTTCACATAAAAAATATCGATTCTGTATTGCTCTAGGTGAGCTAGCATTTTGCAGGATTTAAGACAAAGCATTACAGAAGTGAAGCAAAATATGGCATCTGAAGATACAATATGATAGCTCTCAAGGTGAAGAAAGTGGGGGATGTGACTGAGGAGCATGGGATAACCTGGTTTTGAAACTTATTCAATATTTTAGCTAAATTGTAGATGGCCTAATTTCTTGCCTAGACAAGATTGTTTTCATCCAGCCCCCCAAAATTGAAGATAAATAATAAATATTTACCTGAGATTTTAAAGATACAATAGTATCTTCTAGTTCTTGCCTCAAAGATGCTGGCATTAGACTTTTGAGTTTAGTTTCATATTCTTGTCGTATATGGGTCACCTGTATAGGAACAGAAAAATATATAAATAGGGCTACTCTGGAGGTTAGAGAGTAACTTTATTTTTGCTTCTTTTGTCCAGTTTGGAGTCCAAGTAAACTCAGAAATACTGTATCAATGGAAAGGTAAGAAGAAAGACTAGCAAAAACCTGTAAAGAACCAAAGGTGTATAAAAGAAGAAGAAAGGAAAAAGAAAACATAAAAAGGAAATAGTTATGGAAAGGAAACAATAGTAATACAATTGTTGGGCCATGGTCAGAAGAAGTAATAATACTGCTTTCCTAAATCTATCTCAACAGGGATATGGGCATATGGCTGAAATGGTCTGCTAATACCAGTGTAAGTATTTCAAAACTTGCTTTAAAGTTATTATAGACAAAATCCACAAGTTGTTCTTTACCCCTTTTCACAGCTCATGGTTCAATTACACTTCATCAACTAAGTTAAAATAGTTTCTCTAGTGGTTCTTTAACTTGTTGCAAGTAACTGGATAAGGCCACCTGACAAGAAAACCTGGCCCATTTCATGTAAAATAGTAATATCGTCATTTGTACAATTGACTTTCTCCCCATAATGCCAACATTATTGTGTTCAGAAGTGAACAATCAAGTGGATAAGCACACAGAATCATACAACTGCTCAGGTTGGAAAAGACCTTCAGGATAAAGTCCAACCTCAACCTAACCATCCTACCCTAACAGCCCACTGTTAAATCATGTCCCTGAGCACCACGTCCAGATGGTTTTTAAACACATTAGAAATTTACAAGGAGACAATAGGCAAAAATGTTAGCTTGCTTTACTGTGCAGTTATGAGATGTCATAACATAATTAGACATGTTGTGAGACCAGATGTTCATGTAAAAATCATTTCTAAAGAAGAACGTTCTAGTCCATAACCTTACCCAACAGACGTTGAGTACAGCACGAAGTGCTGTTACACGAGGACAGATCAACTGGAAGGGCTGTGCTTTGCAACTCCCAGTGTACCTGGATTTGCTGAATCTTGACAAACGATTCTTGGGAGTCTCTCCTGGCTTTGCCCACCAAGTCTCCCAGAGCTGCTGCACATTTTATTCCTTTGCTGAATCAGGGCCTCACATCTGTACTTAAATTCCAATAGCATTAACTGCTTAATTCAAATTAAGCAAGTACTTAGGTGTTTTTTTCTGGATTAGCAGCCAAATATGTGAATAAACGATAAAAGGGAGTTCAATATCAGATTAATTTAGGAAACATTTTTAAACTTTCAAACTGATTCTTTCTTACCTAATGCATTTACACAGCAACACCATTTTGTGCTCATTCTATTTGAGCAAAATGTTCTTAGCTTGCATTGGAAGCACAAGTCAAAGCCTCAGCCTCCCAGCTCCATCCCACGAGCAGCACACGTGCTTGCACACGTGGGGACCGAACGCAAGGTCATGGAATGATGTGCCAATTACCACCTTGTGCAAAACTCAGAGCATGCCAAACTATGCATTATGCATAGTGCAATTATCGATATAAAAGGAATAAAACAATCTGATGAAACTTTAGGAAAATTTTGCCTATGAGTCATTCTGACATGCAGAAATCTCCGAATCTCTATGCAAATAGGCAATTAGAGGCTTTCCTTGTGAACTGCAAGTGATGCCACTATGCAAATATAAAGAAATAACAGGAAAAAGATCTGTAAGACAGGAAACCTTGTCTGAACTCTGCTTGTTTATAAACCAGCGATCAAAATTTATGTTTCTTAAAGTTACTCCGATAAACTTGTGCTAGTCGTTCTGTAAAGGCTTACAAAATTATGGATAGGTGCTTTGCCAGCATAAATATTTTCTGAGCCAACTGCTCATTTGGGTGGGGACCTTGATGCAGTCACACTCGCACCACAGCTCCATGTAGAGCACTGAGGATGTCAGGAGCTGAGCCTGGGCTCCCAGCAGCTTCCCTGGGTGCAAGCATGCAGCAGGAGTCCCTTATTGTAATTCTTCCAAGAGGAAAGTCAAGACAATTTCATTCTAAATAGAAGCAACAAAAAGCTGAATACAGCTCTGTGAGTGAAATAATAATCATCTAATTGTGCAACTTGCAACCAGGTCGCTGTTTTTAATAGTTTAATCTGCAAGTGTCCTCTAAAGACGTGCTTTCACAATGCTCTTTAACATTTGCTATTAACTCTGCAAAGCACCCAGGGGATCGCTCCCCTTTGATGAAGGTGTTTCTTGGAAAGTCAGGAAGGAACACGTACAGTGCTTTAAAGTACAGTCTGGGTCTCCTGAAAGACAAAATGAGAAACAAGCCCTGGTAGCAGAAGGATTGCCTGAAGTTGATCTCTTACTCTATTTCAGAAAGAAGATGAACATTTTTCTTGCAGTGAAAACTGCATTTTGTTTGTTTCTTAAGACAAAATATGTTGCTTTCAACTGCGCTCACTCATAATTGCATCACAATGAGATGAAAATAAGATCCCAGCTGTTTCCTGTCACATTACGATAAAGAACATGCTGAGATTCTTGGCTGAAGTTAATATCAAGGTTTATTGACCCAAGAGATTAAAATAGTGCATGGCAAAAATCCGAATCACTTCTTATAACTGAAAAATGACACGCAGTGGGCTAATGTATGCTAATCTTAATGAGGGGAGGTTTTTATTTTTTAACATTGATTTCTGACCCAAGGAAACTGATGTTTGCAGGGATTTTGTGTATGCATTCATGTGCCTTGAAGGCTTTCTTGTTCTTTTATAGCTTCAAGCTGCAGCCCTAGGATCCTCGAGCGCTGTCTCTTCTTGGACTCTTGAGAGATGTTTAAAATTGCAATTCTTCAGCCCTCAGGAGGGCCTTATCTGCTGGATGAGGACAGCTCTATTTCAGTTACTGTTGGGTTCGTTTTTATTCAGTCCTGAGAAAGCTGTAGGTTCATTTTGGTGAGCTGCTTTAATCCACGAACCCCCAGGAAGGTTTTATAGCTTTGAATATGAAGCTGCCACGCTGCTCTTTGTTTATTCAGGTTGGTGCCCAGGATATGAGGTTTAAGGTTTTATCATCAATCATCTCTGGTGTCAGGAGAAAGAACCAAAAGCAGAAGTTGCCAGAAAGAGGTAACCTATGGTCAGTCACAATAAGTTAGAATCAAGATGAGGCAAATATTCACACAATTATGACCTGGTCACACTGCAGCCACTCTTCTCCTTCAAAAAGCAATATCCTAAGCACAACCAGGAGAAATGCAGCACCTTCAGGATGGCCAGATGTACTTCTGCCCGTGGACACTGAAAGAACAGCAGAGGCTATTCTGCTTCTCTTCTGTGCTTTGCTATACAGCCACAACGCCCTGTATCTTAGGCAGGTTGCTCAGAGCCAGCTCTCCCTTTTCTTTCAAAAGGTCTACAATGCTGAGTTTGCCTTCCAGTGGCCCTGGGGCTCTAAATAGTGCAACATCCCCTTCTCGAACCGTTAAAAAACAGAAACACTGCAATCTTCTCCGGATCTCTCAATTGTAATTACTTGATTGAAACCAGAGGAGCATAAGGAAAATGCTAATGAAACAGCGAAGTATACATTGCCAAAGCAAATGAGGGGACCAGAGATGAGTTGTTCAAGTTTCTTAAAAAGAATATCTTGTCTTGAAGGGCATGAAGTCAACGTTCAGTGTGTGTCAGATGAGAATCGAAAGGCAGTTCACTTAACTCAGGTTTTTGGGTTTTTATTATCTCAATTTCTGCCTGTTTGTAACATTTGTGAAGGATAATAATTCCACGTGCCAGGAAATACTACGATAGTGACCAAAAGGCGTAATTAGGATCATGTAATTATTATCAAATTTTCTCCGCATTTCAGGGGAGTAAGATGAGATAAGTTATTTCCTGCCTCTCTCAAGTCCTTTCCTGCGTTATTCAAACAACATGGCTTAGAAAGATGTCATAATGCTGCTTAAAAGAGAAGTCTCTTTAAAAAGTTTATGCATCTGTTCAACAGTACAGATCTCTGTGAGAAGACATGAAAGATGTGTTGTAATAAATGTGAAGACAGGTTAGGGTACCAACAAGGTAAAAATAACTCCTTCAGCCTTAGGCAAACCATTTCATCTCAGACTGAAGTCTCAGCCTTCTAAATGAGGATAATAATAATACTGCGTAGGTCAGCTTCATTCAGGTGATGTGAAGATGGCTGAAGTAATTTTCTGAAAGCAGTCTGAAGAGGCCAAGAGAAGGACAAATTACTACGATGCCATCCCAATTAAAAAACACACAAAAAGACAAACAACCCAGAGAATATCAAAGTAACAATTAATCGCAGCTTGGTTCTCTTCTCCCTAATTGCAGTGACTCCTCTGCTTCTCAGCACTCCCAAACCCTCAGTTAATAAAGCTCTAATCCCACAGAAGTGCTGAGAACCAACATGGGCACCTTCCTCCACCAGCCCCATGGGGAGAGCTGGCCCAGCTCTATGGCCAAGGAACCAAATCCACCAAAACCTGCAGCTTCCTGAAGGTTCAGATCTCTCACAGTTCTCTTGTAAAAGAATTTTTACAACTGGAAATCTTTTCAAACGCTTTTTTTCTAGTGAGTAATCAAATTATGTATCATTTTTTTGTTCAATAAAGAACAAGGCCTCACCATTCATCCTTTCACAAAGCAGCCAAATGAGAAAATCCATTGCTTTTCTGTCTATGACCTCTCTTACTTCAGGCATGTGAACTGAGAAATGTCTCTCAAAATACAGTTCCTACAGGTTTAAAGAAATATTATGCAATTTGATACAAACGTTCTCAAGTTCTTCAGGAAAGTAATGAATGCTATAAATTGCACAAACACAGCACGGCTGCAAACGGTAACTGAGTGTGATCAGCAGAGCCAGTTGCTTTGTCAAGTGCACACAGCATTGCTCTCCACTGAGCAAAAATAGTGTTGGAGAACCTACTCTATTCCGACAGCCCCAAAAAAGCATAAATTGGTGGCACAGCTGTCCACTTTGTTTATCGGTTTTTAGCTGGTAAACCACTGGAGCATCCAA